CCGGTACCCGTATCCAGCCCAGGGCCTGCTTCACATTCATTTACGCAGGCGGCCCAGGGCCTGGATTCATTCAACCAACTGGCGCAACGCAACTGTCTGAATTTCCCCGTTGCGGGGTACCCTGAAGAATGAGGCCCGAAGGGCCTGTCGTGCCTGCCTTCACTTAGGGCGGCCGACCTCGTTGCAGATAGGGCCCCGTAGGGGCTAAGCGGGCGTAGCCTCGCATTATTATAAGGTTGCACCGTTTTCTTTTTATTTATTTTTTATTTTTTCTTTTTTTTCTTTTTTTCCTCCTTGCACCGTTATCTTCTTCCTTGACCTTAGGTATCACATCGCATGTGCCACGTCAGACCAGATGAGATGACTCTTTTTCCCGCCAGAACATTTACACATGCAATTATATTATTATTATTATTATTATTATTATATTATTATTATTATTATTATTATTATTTACTAAGCTACATTCTTCTCTTAAATTGAACTTTCAATTGCCTAGCTACCAACCACTACTCCTTAAGCCACCAGCCAATTTATACTGGGGACCCATGCAAGCATAGCTACCTCTCACAATCAAGAAGGGGGTGCATGTGGCCCCAGGGTGATTAACATCAAGACGGAGGACTTTGCCAGTAGCCAGGCCGCCTCGCTTTTCATGTTCACCGAACCCCAACCGAGAAACAGGAGTGTCTTAAGGGCATCGCCACACCACGCTCGAAATGTGCAAAATGAGAATGAACTTCCCGCTAGAACATGGCCAGATGCACCCGCCACAGTTTTGTCTTTTTCACATTTGGAGGGAGGGTGGTGTGACGAGGCCCCCTAAGGCCAACTGCGTTAGTTACATTTCGTTTTGTGAGTTTTTTTTTTTAATTTCTTACGCACGCGGATAAGTTTGAGCGTTTGCGTGTCTGTCCCTAAATCAGGCGGCAAAGTTTTTAGATTGCCCTGCACTTTTCCCCCTATATTCGGTATCTGCACTCTGTTTTTGAACATTTTTGAACATTGTCCCTGGTGGCTGCTGTGTTATACGAAGAGCCCTCGCATCTGACTCGAGAATCCCAGTTTTGCCCTGGCGGTTCAATCCCCCTCC